AAAGGAGGAGGGGAGGGGGCGTTTGTCATTAAGGCATTTGTCTTCCGGAGCAACCGCTATGCGTACTGAGGCCCTACTTCCCAGGCAGTGGCTGGACATCACCTGCAGATGGGAAGTAGAGAAGAAATCTTTCCTTTGCTTCCGTGTGCGGCCTTTGCTTTTCTTTATTAAACTGCCTTTCTCTCGACCCACAAGTCCTTTTTCATCTTATTTTCTTGCCCCCGTCCCGCTGAGGAGGGGAGTGATAGAGCGGCTGGGTGGGCACCATGGGGCCAGCCAAGGCCAACCCAACACAAAAGCCATTATGCCCCACCCCTCCATTGTGGTTGGGGGGGGAGGACATCCCATATAAGGCCATACTGTCCCACTCCTCCATTGTGTGCAGGGAGCCAGGACACACATATAAGGCCGCAATCACCCACCCCTGGCCCATGGCAGACGCTGTCTCTGCTCCTGGATGGTGAAGGCAGGCAGCGGCTGACACGAGGTCGGGGCTTTGCCGCCCCTTGCAGACCTGGGGAACGCGACCGGCGGTGACTGTTGGCAGCAGCGTTCAGTGGCCGACGGCCTGCTCCCCAAGCCTTCAGCCATGAGGTTGGACGGTGCGGGCTGGGTGCCTGTGGTGCGCAGCTGCCCCTCGCCCTGCCGGGGCCCAGCACAGGCCCCTGTCCGCCCTGTGAAGAAGGAGGAGCGCCGGCAGGAGCTGGCCAGCCCCCAGATCAAGCCTCAGTCTTTCTGGTTGGCACTACAGGAGAGACCCCACAAAAGGCACAGCGCTGGGCAGCAGGTAACATGCCAGGCTGTGGTGGATGCTCTGCTCCAGGTGCCAGAGCCGGCGGGGAAAGACTTGGTGCTTCCTGGCAGCGCCTGCAGCCGGCTGCTGGAGCAGAACGCCCGCCTGCAGCGGGCTCTGGAAGACCTGGAGGGGCAACGTGGTGCCCTTGAGATGGAGAACCGCCTCTTGAGAAAGGGAAGTTCTCCAGAAGCGTGCAAGGAGGCAGAGAGGCTCCAGCAGAAAAATGCTCAGCTAGCTGCCCTCACCGAGCAGCTGAAAGAAAGATGCAGGCATCTGCAGAAGACCATCAGGCACCTGATGAATATTCCAGTGCCACTGCCCATCCAAAGCTCCTCTGAGGAACCATGCATGAAATCGTTTCCTCAGCAGAGGGATGGAGAAAGGAGAGAGTCTGCCGGAGTTTTGCTGGCACAGGACCAGCAGAATGAAGTTTCACAGAAGGTGGCTGAGAAGCTTCAGACCCAACTGGCTGCAGACGAAGAGGGCTCATATTGGATGAGCAGCCTCAGCCAAAGGTGTGAGGAGTTAGAGGTGCAGCTTCTGGAGATGACAGATGAAAACACCAGACTGGCTAAAGAAAATTCTCGCCTCCGTGGGCAGATGTGCTGGGCAGAAAAGGTTCAAGCTGAGAATGCTGACCTGAAGGGGCAACTGAGGCGAGTGGCAGAGGAGCGAAATTCTGTCATCCAAGCCATCAGCTCTCTTCAAACCCAGCTGGAAGCTGCAGAGCGCAAACTGAAAGCTGTGGAAGAAAGGGCAGAAAGTGCTCAGAGAGAAGTAAAAAGGGACCACGGAGAAGCCAGGCAACTGTTTCAAGCCCAGGTGAGTGAACCAGAGAATCAGTTCCAGAGCCCCTCAGAGTCAGCTTGGTCAGAGGACAGTCCTGGGTCCTGCCTTCTTTCAGAAGAGGACCCCACAAATGAGACAGAAGAACTGGTAGCAGACAAACAGTCCGTCATCTTGCAGACTCTGGGACAACCACTGGGAAAGCTTCGAGCATCCATAGCTCGATACAGCTGCGATTCTTTTGATGGTCCCAGTGAGCAGCCTGAACTAGAGCTTCCTCTAACTGCTGGACAATATATTTATGTCTTTGGACAGGTGGCTGAAGACGATTGGTCTGTGGGAGAGCTGGCGGGCAGCACAAGAGGATTCATCTCCTCTGGTTTTGCCGAAGAAGATTCAGATGATGACCTGGAAAACGAGGACTGGGATGATCCTCGTTATTACATATTCGGCCTCTCACCTATTGTGGAGGAAGATGAAGAGGATCTAGATGTGGGTGATGGGGGCTGAAAAGCTTAAATAAACGTAGCCAATAGAAACCTCCAGAATACCTGCAGAAGTGAATTTGTACTTAAAAGTGACTTTTCTTAGACTTTTAGATTTTGTAGAATGGGGGGACCTCTGGAAGGCAGCAGGGGCCTCCAACGGGCCCCAGCAAAGCCCGAATGAGGCCCCGGGGCACCCTGGAGGGTCTCTGCAGGGTGTGTCCCCAGAGCTGGATGCAGTACTCCAGGTGGGGTCTCACCAGAGCAGAGCAGAGTAGAGGGGCAGAATGCCCTCCCTCGACCTGCTGGCCACGCTGCTTTTGGTGCAGCCCAGGATACGCTTGGCCTTCTGGGCTGCGAGCGCACATTGCTGGCTCATGTCCAGCTTTTCATCCACGAGTACCCCCGAGTCCTTCTCGGCAGGGCTGCTCTCAATCCCTTCATCCCCCAGCCTGTAGTGATACCGGGGGTTGCCCCAACCCATGTGCAGGACCTTGCACTTGGCCTTGTTGAACTTCACAGGGTTCGCATGGGCCCCCTCCTCCAGCCTGTCCAGGTCCCTCTGGATGGCATCCCGTCCCTCTAGTGAATCAACTGCACCACTCAGCTTGGAGTCATCCACAAACTTGCAGAGGGTGCATTGTACGGTAGCAGTGTTTATTCGAGCCCTTCCCTTGCAGCAGATGGACAAGGTATGTCAGCATCCTGCCGTGACCTTCCTGACAGGTACTTTCTACAGCTGCCTGTAACCACACCTTCCCCTCACCGCTGAATGATCAAGCTTGTGGGGGCCTGTTAAGATTTTTGGCGTAACTCATTGCTGAAATTGTAAACTCTGATTGTTTTCCATCAAAACTGAAATTCCATTCATTTGATGTTCAAGTTCAGCTGTCACATGAACTAGTACAAGCTGTATCCCTGATCCAGGGCTGAAATCAGCTCTTCTTAACTCACAGTGCTCCTTCTGGGTTATTGGCTTGTCCCTTATCTACTTTTCATTAGCTGTGTTCTCCAAAACTTCTGTAGGCAAACTACCTTGCCCCGCAGAGATGAGAAGAGATCCTTCATGGATTTCATGGGTCATGGCCTGAGGAAATGAAGGCTTCAGAGGTAGCGGTCTACAAACTTCTCCCCACATCCCCCTCTGTGCCACCCCCAGTTGGGCCACAAGAGGACCAGGGAACTGAACCAAATTTAGGAGAAAAATCTTAATTAGGCTGGGGGGACGTGTATGTCTAATTCTGTTCCTGTTGATTTCAGAAGAAACAAAATGTGTTTCCTCTTCACCTGGACTCTGACTGTATGGAACTCATTTAGCTTTTGGAATAGAAGAGAGTAAGGTGCACAAGTCAAGAGAATATGAAGAAACAAAATGATTCTCAAAGGGATTTAAAGAAAGTCTTCTCTTTTATTTGAATGGTTCCCATATTTAGATAATTAAGTAGAATTGTCATAGGAATGAAAATCAACTTTCCCTTCTTCCCAAGGAATCTGAAAAATGTTGCTATGTACAGAATTTACAATTATATGCAATAGTTTATTGTTATTCTGGACTCCAAAATTTGATATCACAGGTAAAAATGTCCACACCGAAGCTAGAGCAGGATGTGTCCATCCTGTACTTTCAGAATGTTCTGTAAACTTTACTGGTATACTTTCAAAATGATTGCTCTTCCAAGGATGAGAAACTTCCCTCACCTGAGATCTTGCTGCTGCATACAATTTTCATCATCCCCAGCCTAAATAATTAAATTGCATTCCTTTTTGAGCAGGTGAGAAGTCAGGCAAAATGGGCCAGATGTGCAAATGAGTTTAGGTTTCTGTTTTCTGTTGGAGTCAGATGAAAGATGATATAAAGCAGGTGTAAAAAAATAATCTACTGAGAAATCAATAGATGATAGGCATCTAGTAACTTTGGGATTTGGATGGAAAGCCTTTGTTTCATGAATTTTCTTACTATTTTTTGCCTTTCACCTACAGAAGCTTCCATCGTTTTCATGGATTATTTGGCAGAAAGTTTTTCTGCTTTTGGTTCAAGCCGCTGAACCTCTGTAACTCCCTTTGTATTCAATGGGCACTACAGACACCCAGTTTCTCTTTAAAAATTAGAAACCTTGAAGAACTCTGAAATAAAGCATCATTATCTCTAACTTAACGGTCAATCAAATGACCACTGAGAGGATTTCTAAGATCTGCGTGCTATTAAATGAATTGGAACCCAGTCCTGATGTGTTACTGGCAGGACTTTGCTTCTTTACTCAGCTTCATTTTCCACTCTGAATCTACACAGCTGCTCTGCAATGAGGAAAATGGCTCTGAGCTGGTGGGAGTGGAGGTTTGTAACAAAGTGTGCTGGAACGCACCTGTGTTGCTAACGAGTGGAAGTGAGCATAAGGTGGCTGCAAGGTGTCCTCCGTAACCCGAACTGTCGGTCTCGGTCCATGTCATGGCCCCTTCCTAGAAACCCTGCGAACAAATGTCCTTGCTGTGCACGTCAACAGTCGGCTCGGAGATGGTGCGATGGTGGAAACTGTGCTTCCCCATCAGCCCGAAAGGAGCCCTCCTAAATCAAGATTAAGGTGTGATGACAGCATGAAGGTAGACTGCTGCTGCCAGCATCGCCTTGGTTTGGCACGTAAATAGCAGCCTTCGGTCTCCTTATGCAAGTGCCTAAAATGTACAGTAATAAACTGTGACCTCCCCCACTTTTAGGTGCCTGGCCATACGAAAACCAGTTAACCACCTAAATCTACTGCTACACAAACATGCTACCAAGGAGAGGTGATAGGCAGCAGCAGCGTTGCACCGTGAGCAGCATTATTTAGATGTGTTCTTCCTGGGATCGTGATGCACCCAAGGTTTACATGTTAGCAGGCTTGGCTTTTTAATTAGGGAAACGAAGCATCCATAAGCAGCAAAACAAAACAAGAGGCTTGAAATCATCCTCATTTTGTATTATACAGAATTTCTATATTCATCAGTACACAAGCGATTGCTAAACAGGTCCTCACTACATTTACTTGCAATTCAAAACAAGGTGGTTATTATGCAAACAGGTTAGCTTTGTGGAGGCATCTCCAGGGTGAGCTTAACCCTGTCCTGTTTGGTTCCTCTTGTCTAAGTCTTACAGGTCTGTAAACGTTCATGTTGTTATACAGAACTGTGGAGTTATCGGCCACATAGTGTGGCTGATAGTAGTTAGCCTGGATGGCTTTCTGTGGTGGCGGGGGAGTTAATGAGACATAGCTGTGGAAGGAATTAACCCTGTGGAGAGGTGACGGGGGGGTGAAGTTGCTGCTGAATATGAGAGTTCTTGGGGATTGCTTGGTCTGGTGGGTGCTGCCAGCTGAGAGGCTGCTGAAGGGATCGGAAAGAGTGTTAGCGCTTCCCTCGTCGCTGTCGGGGAGGTTGCACTGGGGGGCCCAGCTCTTGCTGAACAGGAAGGGCGCGGTGTGCGGTGGAGACTTCGGTCCCCTCACTGGCTTGGACAGCGCGTAAAGGTGTCGGAACTCTTCATCAAACAGCTCCACAACTTGACCCGTGAACTTGGAGAGGAGGTTGCGGTGAACCTGGCCGCATAACCACGTGAAGCTGGAAGGAGAGACAAGGTAAGGCTTAGCATTAACGTCAGCCATTAGGAACTGGAGATCCCCGCAGGGGTGGTGCGAGAGGCAAATGCGTTTTACTGCTGAAGCTTCTTGCCTAAACACAGGATGAAGATGGTGTCACAGTTGAATTTCAGGTCAGTTCACATCAGTGCTCTTTGACTTGGATCAAGCTTTGTTATTGCAGCTGCCTCTAAAACCTTCAAGAAACTTTGTAAAGTTATACAGCTTCCTAAAGGGCGTGGTGATCCAGATCCACTACAGGACTAAATGTCAGATACAATACCCAAGGTTTGGGTTCCATGGAAAGGAGTTCAGACCCCCCTTTTGCGTACCTCTCTTCCATGCACGATGCACAATGCTTAAATTGAGGTCTTACCATGTCTTGTCTGCACACACATAAATTCTTCCTTCCCTGCAGAATGCTGGGCCAGTTGGTAACTCTCACCCACTCAAAACTGACATTAGAAAGACTAGTGAAAAATCACCATCCTTTGTTTTCATTTTGCCATACTTTTTCTGCATTGGTCAAGAGAAACACACAAAAATTCAACCTCCCTGTCACATCCCACTCCCACAAAACAGACCGCCACACCTGACAAATGCTTATTTTCTTCACTACAGAGAAAATGAAATTATAAATATTTCCTACAGCCTTTCAAAAAATAAAAATACTACTTTGCTATAAAGTAAGGGAGAAACACCACAATAGTTTTCATTCTGGTAGTCCAGAGACACACCTTAGGATACCCCACAGCTTTTAAATGGTTTTTCTTTTATGTGCTTCCCTAATCCACTTGGCAAACATAAATTTGTGCTCTTTTACAAAACCACAAGCCAGCTTGGTTGTGCTGTGCAGGCTGCCTTGTCTGAGCAGCAGCGGCAGCAATAAAATGAGCATAGCTGAGAGAATGAAATGTAATTACTCCCTGAGCCGACCAAAGCTCAAGCTGTGCAGCAGAGGATACAGAGCAGCGTCGGATTTGAACCCGAGGTTATTCTGTGTTGGCAAAACTCTGCCCCGGTTATTCCTGCGTGACTTTATTAGCTACACTGGATTTGCACGAGGATTGCTGAGAGCCAGATTTGGCTGTAGGGGTGTGCACTTTAAATCTTGTTCTTGTCATGTTTTGACAAAACTCCTGTGAGACTCAGTGGGACTGACAGCCTGAGCTGACGCTAAGGGAATAAAGACAGACGATTTACATCTGCCCGTTCAGAGCATTCTTAAAGAGGGTTGGGTTTGGGGCATACAGTGGTTTTATACTGTTGCTTCAGGAGCAAGGGAAGGAGTGAAGAAATCACTAGTTCAATGCCACCGGGCAATCCTACAATATATACTGTACATTTTATGATTGGACATGAAAATATACACTAAGTTGCTAGAATACAGGTACTTCTCATCCACTTTGTTCAAATCGTTCTGAATATGGACAAAACCTTGGGAGCCGAGGTAAACAGCACAACAAGCTACCTCCCCGCTGCGTGGGTAACATCTGCTGTGCTAGCTCAACATTGCCTTTATTCACTAAGAAGCACTCTCTAAACCTTTGCACATCCTTCGTCTAACTGTTAAGGAGATAATAAGCCAGGAACAAATACAAAAACACACGCAATTAGTCTGGGATATCTATGCTGAAGGTTACAAACTCATGAAAGGGCTGAGGTGTGGAGTGGCAGGTTTATACTTTATGTGCTAGAGATACATCTGGTTTATAAAAGAAAACTCAGAGAGAAATAAAAATCGATTACACTTATAAATGGCTTTTAAAAACCCAACAAAATCAGAGGGAAAACCCGTTGCGCCCGATTTTGATAATTTACTCCCATATGTAACTTCCTGGAGTACTTGACGGACAGATGCTTATTTGTGGTTCATCAATCTTATCTGTAACCCTTGCAAGCAGAGAGAGTTGGATCCAAGTAATAGCCCAAAGATTCTCCATGTACTGATGGCAAATGGGTCAGCTGTAAAGTAACAAGGCGAGACCTGCGCGATTTTAGACAAACACTTGTGGATTTCATGTAGTGAGTCACAGCAATTTACATTCTGTGCACTTTGCTGAAGAACAAAGCAGAACTTGACATAAAGACTTAAGAGGTTTTCGTTGGCTTCATTCTAAGAGGAAATTCATTGTTTAGGTTTTAGGCCCTGTTTTCCTCCTTAGTTTACAATTCCGAGTGCTCTTTTGGGAAAGGCTCAGAGAAGTCTGTTATTGTCACTATCTGCCCAGAAGGATCGTTTTTCTACCAGGCCTCTTTGAGTGAAGCACATCAGAAAGAAGAGCACAAAAAAGTACTGCCTAGCTTGGGGCCAAAGCTGTATCACAAATTCGGTCATTAATAGGTACTTCTCAGCCGTCTTTCCAGGGCTTTGTCCCAAAGTCTATGTCCTGTTCCGGATCCTTTCATTTATGATTGTCTGAATCAAAACGCATCTCTCCTGTCCAATCTTCATTTGCACTAGACTTACTTTTTTCTGAGTGTACCCTCTGCATTACTGCAGCTGCAGTTCATTAGGGATGCTCTCATCCCTTGTGTTTACAGTGCTACAGTAACATGCAGCATTACAGGCATTTAATCTGAAATGGAAGGACTGGGTTTTTCAGCTGAGCTCAGGTTTGAATTAACCTACGCATTCGTGTTGCCTACTGGTGGGATAACCTTTGTATGAGAAACCTGCCCCACCTGAACCAATGCTCTCAGCAAAGCACCCCAGTGTTAGATGTTGGATACTGGCTCTGAAGAGGCCGGTGGCTTTCAGAGTGGCAGACGGGGAGGTACTCAGCTGCCCCTGAGGATCAAGGTCTGTGCTTTCTGCTGTTTTCATTTTGCCTTCTTTAGGGTGCTGAGTTCATGCACTATCTAACTTCAAATTAATTAAAAAAAAAAGGCATAACAGTTATCATAGGATGGAGTAGCGTAACAGAGACACAGCAAAACAAAATACTGCATCCGAACCCCACGCCATAGACATTGGCAATAAAAATTGAGAGGAAAACTGTTAACTTAAAACACTTACACATGCCTGCACTTGTGCAGACACATGGCTGAAACAGCCTTCAGAAGCTTCTCAGCTCCAGCCTGCCCTGCATGGCAGAACCATGCTTATCCACACTGACCCAAGCAATGGCTTTTTAATGTGGTTTTACAAACCACTCCAGAGCACGAGATGCCACAGACTCGATGGTGGTTCCTTTGCCTCTAACTAGTTGCCAGCTTCAGTCCTCTTGTTGCCCATTAGGCAAATATATTTTGTCCCCAAACACTTTGGCTACAAGCAGTGAGCCAGGGTCCCTTTTAGAGCAGTAAGTCCTGAAGGGCTATTTTATTTCCTCAGCCTGTTCCCCCAACTGCTATTACAAAGTCATGCAGAGCACAGCACTTAGATGAAATTTGCTGTTGTATTAAATTCTTTTGTATTAGTTTTAAGATCTATTCCAATTTGATTTCCAACAACTGCATTGCAGAAGAGTTTGAGTCTGTTTTACTCAACATCATTCTTGTTTATACCTGCAGAGGTTGGTGGATAAGGTTTAGAGATAATAGAAAACTTTCAGATTAATAAATCGAGAGCTAGCAAGCCTACAGAAATGTCATGTACTGATAGCCAGCTATTACCCATGTGAATCTGCAAACTGGTGCTGAGCATGCTGAAGTTAAATTGTATATAGATTTGTTCCTCACCACCCTCTCTGCTTGCTTGCTGGATAGGGGATTATGTAGTTTGACAAGGATCTTGAGGTTAGAAGACATTGCAACAGCAGTAGAGAATGGCAGAAGTCACTCTGCACAGGACTTCAAGGGTTTTTCTTTTTTTTTAGGATTGAAAAGAGAAGACAAAAGAAAGCTTCTTGGCTAAAGAAAATAGATCTTGTTCTGTCCCTCTTCTCCCACACATCCTTCCCTTCTATATATAAATCTGCTCTCGCATTTCTACACATCTTTGGTGAGGGGTTAAAAAAAACCTGAAAGAACAAGAAAACCACAGAGCGGCCAATAAAAAAAAAAACGACTCTGAGTGTTCACTCATTTTTGTCTGACGGTTCATTTGGAAACTGAATGAAAACTGGATGCCTGCCTCTGTGGACAGCTGAGCTCCTGCAGCCTACGCTAATCCCACGTATTCACCTTTACCTTCGTTACTATAGTTATGTAATCTTCCTGGTGGCACAGTTTTATCAGACTAGAGGCATTTAAGCCTCCAAATCATAAACCGGGATTAAGAAAACCAGTCTCATCCTTTTAATTAAATAATCACCTCTGTAATTTTTTTCTCTTGTCTTTTTGTATCTGGATTTCTAGGATACACTTCAGTCATTTGTGAAGCTTATCTGTGTAGCCATGAGGCATAGAAACTTTATTTGATGCAAGCTCAGAGACTCCTGAAATTCCCTGACCCGAGGATACTGGATCTTAATTAAAAACCCAGTTGTTGAGATGCTACATCCTCTACCTGAAATAATTATAGCAGCACAAAAGTGAAGAGTTACAGATTCAGCTCAGAAAAAAAAAAAAAGGGAAAAAAAAGGGAAGGTACAACAGTCGCATAGACACATACTGCCTACCTGTTAATGAAACACCAGAAAAAAACAGTAAGTCTCTGAAGGATTTCTGTTTTCCCTTTAATCACTAAATTTGTCATATGGAGAACAAATCCTCAGATAAGCTGAGTGACATATGCTACATTAAGGGATCCCGAGGGAGATGGAAATGTATCACATCTCATGATCACAGCATCTGAGGACCCAAACAATGAGGAAAGCATAATGTTAAGCTATACATATTTCTAGTTCTGCTCCAGGGCTGCACCAGCAAAGTTGTTTATGTTAGTTTCTGAACAGTTACATTAAATACCACGCTCCATAAAGAACTAACATCAGCTTTAAAGCAAGCTAAATGGATTATTGAAAAATGGCACATATTTGAAAACATGAGGGTTTTTTGTTCAAAAAAACTTCTCACCTGTACAAAAATTTCCATGGCACTTTTTTGTGAAGTAGTATTAAAAACATGAAAGAGCACCTAGACATGAACTGCAATGGCTTATCTCACCTGTAAGATCCAGAGAGCACGTATCTCCAGTCAGAGATAAGAAATTTTTCTTGTATTTGTCCTGAAAATTTCCTGCCTGATTTGGCACAATAAACCTCTCCAGTAACACTGCGGACTGAAATATTCTGTAAAGAAAAATAAAT